TATAACTTTTAGAGACATTTTTTATTCAAAGCTTCTCTAAAACCTTTAACGACATTTCTTATACCGTATAATTAGCCTATAAATCATTCTTTAAATGTCATCCGACCTTTAGTTACATTTCTCATTTTTGTCATTTAAATCCTTCTCTATAATGTAGCTTTAGATACACTTTTAAAAGCTTCTTTGAAAATTTCTTCTCTAAAACTCCTTTCTCTTGTAGTGTGGCAAAGGTAAAGTAGAAGGGAACTTATTAGATCGTAGAATTTTGAAGTTTCATGTTATTAAATTGAAGGAGGAACTCAGCTAAAATCATACCACGCACCACTTATGTCATTAAAATCCATTTTCGAAACATAAAATGATCATTTTAAAGTGAAATTGCAGATGAGCAATTAGCAATACTCAAACCCAAACCAGAAGGGGGTTTACTTTGTTGTGAGGATCTTAACAAAAGGGTTAAAATTGTGTGTTTCAACCCGTAAAAGGCCTCATTCTATACAAGTGAATTTTGTTATTAGATTATTTACCAAGTTAAAGATTGTACTTTTTCAAAGAGGTATACAAGTTCAACTTATTATTTCAACTATTATAGAGTATAAAAACTACTTCTTAATTAATTGAATATTTAAATACCTCATATAACAATGATAAAAACGATAAAATATCAGTATTCATCATAAAATCTTGATCAATATAATATCTCATGGAATTATATTGAACATAAAATATAATTCAAACACAAATATAATATTGCTCAATAAGATATATTTGATACCATTGCAATATAACAATGAGAGTGTCAAGACGAAACAATTACGCACACCATACAAATACAAGATAACACGCTAAAACACAAGAAAATGTTAACACATAACTATGGACAAGTCATCAAACTTGTAACCCTAAGTAGAAATACACTAAGAACCCTATTGAGCCAAATACTAGTCGATATTAGTCATCCTTGCATTTAAGGGTGGAGAAGCATCTTCACGACCTCGCTCATGGTAGGTCTGGCATCTGTATCTTCTTCAACACATTGTAGAGCCACATTTAAAAGAATTTGTATTTGGACCTTATCATATTCATCCCTCATCATAGGATCCAGTATCTCCATGATTTGTGTTTCTGTCAAAATTCTAATAGCCTTGTGAGCCTTCTCTCTAACCCAAGTTACAAGAGGTTTTTGGTCTACCCTTTCATTGCCATCACTTGTTTGATCACATGTCGGACTTCGACCTGTAACCATCTCTAGCACCACTATTCCATAGCTATAAACATCCACTTTTGAGGTAATTGGAAGATTGAACACCCATTCTGGAGCCATATACCCTCTAGTCCCTCGTATCTTAGAGAATATGGAATTCTCTATTGCACCTCGGTTGAAAAGCTTGGACAAGCCAAAATCTGCCACTTTTGGATTGTAGTCGGCATCCAACAATATGTTATGTGGTTTAACATCACAGTGCAAAACCCACTCCAAGCATTCTTCATGTAGATAAGCTAACCCTTTGGCCACACCTATTGCAATTTCAAACCTCTTCCTCCAATCAAGTTGATTTGCACTTAAGTTCTTAGCCAATAAGCCATTCTGCATGTACTCATAGACCAAGATCCTATGGCTTCCCTCAGCACAATAACCATACGTTTCTATCAAGTTCATATGATTTATCTTCCCAATTATGCTTATCTCTGCCAGAAATTTAGCTTCTCCATGGCCAGCCTCATTTAGTCGTTTAATTGCTACCTCTCGGGTGTCGGGCAATATGCCTTTGTACACAATACCACCACCACCTCGTCCAATCTCGTCTCTAAATTTATGAGATGCCTTCTCTTAGCGGATCACCATTGACCGAATCATATGTATATATTTTATATTGTTATTTGGTGTATATCTCTTCCTTGTTTAGAGGATTCCTTTCCTAGTTTAGAGGACTCTTTTTGTATATATTCTGGGATGTGAATAGAGAAAGGGATCGAGGAATTATAACAAACTTTATGGTATCAGAGCCTTCTCTGACCTAACCCTAACCACCACCGTTAACCCTTCTTCTTCCTTCCCTCCCGAATGGGTGCCAGCGGCGGCAACGCCAACCCTAAACCGGCATTCCACCCAGCCTTCACCGTAAGCAATATCCGCAATGCCATACCACTCATACTTAATCAGACCGACGACCACTATGCATCGTGGGTGGAGTTCTTCAACATCCATGTCTGTGCCTACAATGTTCGCGATCRTATCGACGAAAAAGCCCCCCGTGCGTCCGATGTCGATGATGCTACCTGGGATCACCTTGATGCCCTCGTGAAATAGTGGATATACAGCACCATATCCCCCGATCTCGGCCATAGCATCATGAAACCCGGAGCTACGGCTCTCGACCTGTGGAAAAGTCTCCAAGACATTTTCCTCAATAACAAAACCACCAGAGCCGTGTATCTCGAAGAGCAGTTCAACAACACCCGCCTAGCTTCCTTCTCCAACGTCACAGAATACTGTGCCCGTCTGAAAAACCTGGTCGATCAGCTTGATAATGTGGGCAACCCGGTTTCCGAAACGAAGATGGTTCTCCAACTCATATYCGGCCTAACCAAAGGTGAATACGACACCGTTGCCACCTTCATCCAACAAACTGAACCCCTTCCCAGTTTCAACCGAGCCAAATCCTCCCTCCTCCTTGAAGAGGCACGTCGGAACAAACCCGATCCCACCACGCCACAGGCGCTCGTCACTCAACGGGCCGATTACAACCAGGCAGAACACCTACCGTCATCCCATAACCACAGCAGCAGCCGTGGTCAGTCCCGAGGAAGCCAACGTGGTCGCGACGGACACCGTGGCAACAAGTGGTCATTATACTTCTGCTCAAGTGCCATGGCAGTGGCCTAACTGGTATCCCCCATATCCATGGAACGCCCCTCCCTGCCCATATCTGACAGCAGCTTCACCAAATGGGGGTACGCGACACAACAACCAGCCTGTCGCTAACCATCATCAGCAAACCCCACYTGCGCCCCAAGCTCATTTTACGACGGATACACCGCCACCCCATGGCGACCCGATGACACCCACAGATCTTGGAGCTACGTTCCAAGCCATGCATATGCAAGCTCCAGACAACTCTTGGTACATGGACACCGGCTCGACATCTCATATCACCAACGAYGCAGGTAAACTTTCCAACTTCTCTCCTTTCACTAAAGATAATTCTATTCTTGTTGGAAATGGTTCTCGGGTTCCAATTCTTGGTCATGGAAACGCAATTCTCACCCACCTAAACCACCAATTTCGATTAAACAACACCTACCTCATCCCCAACATGATCAAAAATCTTGTTGGGGTAAAGAAATTCACTYGTGCAAATAACACATCTGTTGAATTTGACCCTTTCGGTTTTACTGTGAAGGATCTAACCACGAAGAAACATATCACCTGCTGTGATAGCCCAGGCGACCTATACCCCATCAMGCCATCTACCACTAACGAGCTCGCCCCTGCTGTTTTTCACACCGTCTCTCCCAACATGTGGCACAACCGGCTTGGCCACTCCGCCGTTTCTCGTTTTAATTATTTTCGGTCTTGTCTTTCCATTCCTAGTACTAAAGACAATTCTATTACATGTAATGCTTGCTCGTTGGGAAAACATTGTCGTTTACCATTTACTGATTCCGTTTCTGTTACTTATTTGCCATTTGATATTATACATGCGGACATTTGGACCTCTCCCATAACCAGCAAACTCAACCACAAATATTATCTCATCGTATGCGAACCTTCTAAAACCAGTAGCAACTGCAAGGTAGCTCTGGTTTGTTCCACCTGAGGGTTTTTGGCTAACATAAAAGAAGAACAGAAAGCACATAAATTCAATTACACCAAGGATGACGCTGAACCACAACATAAACTTGACGGACCCATTTTCATGCTTTTTTTGGTATGTTCGTTTAAGTTTGACTATTGAATGTGGGTAATATAAGCTAGACATGTTAGCAACATTTTGATGTTTAGGTAGCTTAACATAAGTAACATAATCAGTACCCAAGTTATAGCCATTGAACAACAATGTCTTGACATAGCATTGGAAAGTGTTCGAATATTTGCTAAAAGTGTATGGGATGGCTTTACATTTGAGGTCATTCAAGCAAGCCTGCTTGCATGCTTTGAGACTGGAGCTCTCCTTATGTAAGGAATCAAACCCATAAAATTCCACATGAAGGAGTTTGATGAATTCATAGTTCTCTTGACGTCCGGTAAGATGGAATATAGGTTCACAACCAAAAGACAGGTCTCGGTGGTTCTTGGCCCTTTACCCTTGTATGCAAGTGCATCTCCTTCCCGATTCTAAAGTGTAAGAACACAGGCTGTTTAGGCCACAAATTCCATGAATTTCATATGGTGCTGAAATTGCTTGCCATGAGACTGTCCAACTTCTTGTGTTGTTTAGTGTATAAACTCTAACATTGCCATCAACATCAAGTGTCATTCTTCTATGAAAAGGTTGGCGAAAGTCTGTGGTGATGAAACTTAAATCTTCCGAGGACTTGAATCGACCTTGGGAATCAAGCATAGCAAATCTACTATTGTTGTAACTAGACCTCCCAGCTTCCCATGGTCGTTACCAAGGGCTAGGCCGATAAACACTGGTTATTTCCTCGCTGTTGTAAAGAAGACAAATTACATTGTCGTTGTCAAAGTAGAGTTTGTAGAAGCCAGAAGACAAATTTGTCGAACTTCTGAAAGATATAAGGACTGTATCTTTGGTGAAAGGCTGATCAGGAAGAATGGTATCAGTCGGAAAACTGAAGCTTTGCCAAAGATATGGTTCTTCATCGGACTGTTTAAGAACAAGATTACCGG